AACCACAATGCCTCGCGGTTCACCGTATCAAATGTCTTGGCGAAATCAACAAAAAGTGAGTACAATGGCTGGTGTCGTTCTCTGCACTTCTCTTGCAACTGACGAGCTGCAAACACCATATCTATAGTGCTGCGACCCGAACGGAATCCACATTGCTCTTCCGCCACGTTCGGTTCCACAACCTGATTAAAGAGGCGGTTGAGCAGGATTCGGGCAATCATCTTGCCCACACAACTCAGCAAGTTGATGCCACGATAATTCGTGCAACATTGTTTGCTACCTTTGCCCTTGTACACTGGCAGCACAAGGGCATCCCACAGCTCAGGAGGCACCTCCTCATCAATCCATACACGTTGCACCAAGTGGTGCAGCGCAGTCAACAACGCGGGTCTGCCGTGTTTCAATACTTCAGGCGGGATCCCATCGGCTCCGGCACATTTGCCGCTTCGCAGCTGAGCAAGTGCTCTCTGCGTCTCATCCAGTGTCGGCGTGTCCGCCAGGCTGGTCTTCACATCGTGCTGCTTCAGGCCGTTCATTGTAGGCCAGTCGGTCTCTGAACGGTTGTTCAAGAGGCAGTCAAAGTGTTTTCGCCAGATCTGCATTATGTCTGCAGCCTGTATGCAGGTAGCGCCTGAAGTACGATCGATCAGCGTCCTCAGCGGCTCCAATCTCGGTGCATACAGCGCCTTCAAGGAGTCAATGTATTTCTTGTGTTGGCGGCGTTCGGCCTAGCATTCCTTCTGCTTCGCCTTCTTCGTCCACGATACATCTTTAATGCGGTGGAGCTCTCGGGTCAGTCGCCGTCGAAGTTTGCAGCTTCAGCCCCATAAGGCCCTCTATATTCCCATGGTCATTTCTAAGTAAAAGTGGAAATGGATGCACAGTAATTACAATCCCCCATAAACCCACAGGAACCAACTATATTTTCCGATCCTTTTGCAATTTTGTCAGATGACACTAGTCTCACTTTTAGTTAAACGTCCGAATACTGTTGGTGTCGTATGTTTTGTTAGTAGTCGCAAGTGAGCTACGATCTTGTTAGTGATAAGCTTGACCCCATCACATCTGGAAGTCCAGAAACCATAGTAGCTATGAAGTGTGCGACGTACACCTCATACAGCGAATATTTTTATATTTTTGATTAATGCAAGAACCACGATTATAAAGTGCACTTGAATTCACGTTTGTAAACCAAAGCGACACATTACTGATCCTCAACACGTTTCTAATCAGCTAGTGGATGCGCTATCGCGAGTCAGTGGGAACGCGGGTCACCCGGCTGGAAGGTGATGATCGGTAAATCGGCGTTAGCTGATAGCTGCTGAGTAGCCACAGTGTATAAGTGCTCTAACGTGTTGATGTAGAGCGGACCTACCTGTAGTGATGCAGTCTACTGATATCAAAGGATAGGTTTTGGATGGTCGGAGTTTAGGTGAAGGGACACTATTACACTGGAGTCAGGCCGACTGTCAAATAAAACAAGAGGGAGGCAACAACGCACAATGTAAGGGAGGTTCATGATAGAAAAGATGATAGCTGTGAACTACGGTAAAGGCTACAGTGAGCCGGAAAGCCTGCGCACTGTGAGTAGAGTGTACTGCATGGTTTAAGGCGGACTCATAACTAAGATCTGGGTACTGTAGAGGGATGAATTCGGTTGGCAGGACTCTCATCACCAGGATAGCATTAAATAACGGTGAGGAAAATGAGATAGAATCCAGACTGAAGCCAAAGAAAAAGTACATTAGGAAAAGTGAAAAAGGTGATCGTGATGGAGCCTTAACGGATAGAGTAAAGAAAGCAGATGCTGGAGCGCTACGTACTCCGCGACTGCGCAATTTCTGTCTACAGTCACGGATATGGATCATTTCGGGATCCCCATCCACGAGGTAGACAAGCACTAGCTTAAGCAAATCTCACAGTCAACTTCCTCACGCCATGAGCCACATCATCGACCGATCGTCTCGCCATCATCATCATTATACACATCAGCTAGAGGTGGGAAAACACCACCGCTATTGTGCCGCAATACATGAAGGAAATACATACATATAATACAATACACAAAGGAAAAATAGATACAAGTTGCATGCCAGCTGAGCTACCAGCAACGGATTCGCATCGTTCCGGTAAGCTACCAGCCAGCTACTAGGCAAAAAGGAAAAACTTATTATTTTGTTTTACCTTAGGAAATGAGATCGTAGATGGAGGGGAGGCTAAAAGGGATTGGGAGGGACAAAGAAACTCACAGCATGAACGCCACTGAGGTCGGCTCCTTGCCAGGTCAGCAAGTGTATCCAGGCAAACATGTTCACCGTCTTTTGGACCCCAACCAGGGAGCTGAGACGCTCTAACCGAGGCCAGCTCCGAAGTGAGGGACTTCAGTCCTCTGGACCAAGTCATCGTTTGGCCACCTCTCCTCTTCTTCCACCCACATCCCCGGTGAGCAAACAACGCACGTCGAGGGAGTCGGTGGGCTGGCATGCGTAACACGTGGTCGAGCCATCGGAGCCTGGTGCGGAAAATAACGGTGCTGAGTGGTTCAGATCCTTTTCCTGGGCCGTAAACAATGCATGGAACACGCTCGTTACTCACGCGGTGTTCCCACAAGATGTGAGCTAAATTACGAAGGCACCGGTGGTCGAACGTAACTAGCCTCTTCATGTCCGTCGAGCTTAGGGGCCAGGTTTCGCAACCGTACAGTAAGGTCGAACGTACCGCTGCATTGTACACTCTACCCTTCAGGGCAAGAGTGATGTCGCGCCGCCGCCATAGGTGGCGAAGGTTAGCAAAAGCACTTCGAGCTTCCGCTTTACGGTTGGTGATCTCGTCTTCGATCCCAAGGGCGCTGATACAACTTCCCAGGTAGTTGAATTTCTGAACGACTTCTAGCTGATCCCCACCAAGGGTCAGCGCAAGAGGCGATCCCTGCCAACCTTGGAGGAACGCTTTGCACTTCGATGGTGCAAAGCAAAGCCCGAAGCGGCTGACAGCCAGTGTTAATCTGTCCAGCGAGGCTTGGCACGTCTGGGAGCTGTCACAGATGAGGGCAATGTCGTCTGCATACTCCAAGTCAAGAAGTCGTTCTCCTGGGAATAGCTCCACACCTTCTAAGTCCTGTCCTGTAAATGCAATCTCCATGACTTCGTCAATAGCAAAGTTGAAGAGGAAAGGTGACAGCGGGCATCCTTGTCTCACACCGCTGGAGATATTGAAGGGCGACGACAGCTTACCGTTAGCCCTCACTCTGCCCGTGCTACGCGCATATAATGCTGGGATAATATTTACATATTTCTCGGGCACACCTATCCTGAGTAAACAATTCCAAAGGGCACATCGATCAACCGAATCGAAGGCACCTTTGATGTCGAAGAACACGATTACGGTGGGCCGCCAATGTGTGGCGGTGCTCCAACAACTGACGCAAGGTGAAGATGTGGTCGATGCAGCCACGACCCCGACGAAACCCGGCTTGCTCCTCACGAATCTGGCTTTCACGAACGCCAGTCAGTCTGTGAAGAATTATGGAGGCGATGGAGATCAGACTGATTCCTCTATGGCTGCTGCATTCCGAGCGCGAGCCGCCTTTGAAGATGGGAACAATAACGGAGCGGCTCCAGTCGGTTGGGACAGTCTCCTGCTCCCACAGTTTCCCTAGTAATTCATGTAAAGCATCAACAAGAGCAGAGCCTCCGAATTTGAAGAGGGCTGGAGAAAAGTCATCTGGTCCCGCGGCTTTGTTCAACTTCAACAGTCAGATCTCACGTTCGACTTCTGAGCAAGAGGGTGGATCCAAAGGGACAGCCCACGGAGCAGGGCGATCACTCTCCGGCGAAGAATCGAACAATTCTAGCCGATTAAATTGCTTTTCAAAATGCTCAGCCCAACGCTCCAAACGTTTTGACAAATTGTGGATAGGCTATCCACTCTCGTTACGTATAGTTTCACTAACACCAGGTCTCCTGCTGCCCGTTTCTCGTATCAGACGGAATAACTTACGATGGTTGCCAAGGGCAGCGGCCACTTCCATCTCTGACGCACGATGAGACCACCAAGATTCGTGGTCTCTCTTCAGGCTAGCACGGAGTTCTGCCCGGAGCTCTTCGCGAATTTCATTGTGCTCGCTTTCAGCCGGGATATGCCGGCGAGCGTCGATAAGTTCCAGAGACCGAGAAAAGACCCAATGTCCATGTTGGCTATTAGACATACCCTATGAGGATTTGCCCGCTGCTAGTAAGGTCTGGCGAACATGTAACCAGTGACCATCAATTGTCTCCTGTGAGCGATTACTCAACTCGCATGTCAGCGTACTTCGATACGCATTCAGAACAGCTGGCTTTGTCAGTTGGCTGGTGTCAATGCGCTCACAGCGTCGTCGTGGGCGTCCGCCAAAGCGCATCCGCATGTCAGCACATGCAAGTGCATGATCGGTGTCCACACTTGTGCTCCAAACCGAGCGACAATTCTGGATGCAGCCTCTCCAGCGGTAACGTATCGCAATGTGATCGATCTGCGTCCAAGGCTGGTTCTAGGCTGGTGGGCACCAAGTCACCCACCGGAGGGTGTTGTGTCGGAAATTAGTGCTCGCAAGAAATAAGCGAGCATCTTCACACAAATGAAGTAACCGCTCACCGTTAGCATTACGGGAGACAACACCGTGCTGACCGCCCAGATGCATTTCATCAGTGGACAACTTTCCAACTTGTGCGTTCATATCCCCCGTCTCGTGGGTTCGCCCAACTAGGTGCAGCGATAGCGTAAAATTCACATGGAGAAAGATAGCCTATCGGTATACGGAGGACGAAGCCGAGCCAACTTAAGCGGTTAAGATTCAACCAACATTCGAGTGAGGCCACAGAGGGCTTCTTTCCATACACCAATTGGCGAACCGCACTGACAATTACATACGGAACTAGGTGTTGTGTAAAGGTGACACTGAACGATGTTCACACAAGTATGGATGCAGTGCGAAAAGGAAGAAGCGAAATGTGAACACTCACTGGGTAGGTTCGTCATCGCCCCGCTGACCGAACTCGTTGATGCGCGACTTGTCTACAGGATAGAGGCTGAGGAGAGAAAAGATGAAGGCACAAGGAACAACTAGAGTACTGGTAATAAGGACGGGTGTCGGTGACTGACGTCATTCGAGAACTGCAGGAAATGTGCATGGGAAGGGGGAGTAGGTAGAGTTGACGCAGTGTGGGGGATATGATAAAGGGCAATTGGCAAAAAACACCGGATCGAAAAGAAGGTTTAAAGAAACTAACTGTCACTAATCAATGAGAAAGATACGATGCGAGTAGTTTACATGGAAGACTAAGGCTGTCCGTAAATGAGTTGCCTTGAACTCATAGGCAAGATGGTGCGCGGTGGAGCAAAATGAAAAAATACAGGTGCACCGGATGAAGTGAATTCAACATGATCACTTGTGACTTCCTATGCAAACAACGTCCATCAGACACAGAGACATTCGTATGAGGGATTAGGTGAAAGCCAACATAAATCTATGGAAGACAATAATGCTTCTCTCGTAGGTGAGATGTCACTAGTAAACCGGTGTGGATTCGCATACGAACATGTGATCGAAGGAGGATGAAAGATTCATCGGACTGAAACAGAAATGTGGATAAACGAAAGGGACAAAATTTGCCATAGAAATGAAAACCAGTGGCTCAGATTGTTCAGAAAAAATCCCTTAAAAATACCATCAGCGTGTTCATCATATCGACCCAGCGTGACAAACACTTCGAGGGGAAAAATCAGGCAAATTGAAGCGCAACTGGGTGAAGCAGAACAGATTAGCAGCAGGATAAGCAAACGGAATAGTCGAGCAACCTAACATATATTGTACCGATTAGATTATGGCTAGTCATATTAAATATAACCAATAACCCTACGCGTGGTTGAAAGTACGCGGGTAAACCGCAGAACTCCAATGCGCAATCAACCAAGGTAATTTACGGTTGCTGAAAATCATAAACTGCATGAAAATCGGCATTTGCAACGAGTAATACATATCGCTACCTTTGGTGAGAAAATGTTGATAACAAAATTATCGAGATGGGCGAGAACAACTATCCCCAGTTGCCAGTGATACAGGGTAAATCTGTCAGGCGAATCGCATGCTCGTTATTAAACAATCAACCAAATACTGAAAATGAACCCGTTTATGTATATAAAGCTTGTTTTGACAGTTAAATACTTGACAAGTGGGTCAGAAAATTTGCATTTCAGATATTGGGCTCAGTCGCGTGAGTTTTGTTGGGCAATTGTAAGTGAAACCGGTCCGGGCACGGACGGTCTGTACGCGCGTTTTCGCGAAATAGGCCTGTCTTCTCATTTCGGAAAGAACACATTAGCTTTACTATAAGAGAATTCTATGATTATCGTGTTCGCAAGTGTGCTCATTGATTAGGCGCAACATATGAGCTGTTTGGTGGGAGCAACTGGTGATGCATAATCGAAATGCGAAGAAGGCTGTTGCTTGCAGGGGCACTGCAGTAAGCAATACAGGCGTAAACTGTCAATCATGTGAATATGCCCTCAACTAACAGTCTCGAAGCGTCTATATAAAAACGAACTGGCCGTTGTATTATACTATGGGAAGGGAGCAATATCAATAATTCCGTTATGTCAAACATCATTCTAGCAGTACAAGAGATGGCTCCAATCGCGGCTTCGTTACAGATCACTTTCTGGAACTTTATGATTTAGATTCGATTGAAGCCTAGAAAATGAGGTGGCAAAAGATGGTAAAATCAGTGCATAAAAGATCTTGCCAAATCCAAACAAACCACAGATGTATGCTCAAATATGCTCAATAGCGAGGGGATCAGTAAAGCAAGTACAGTGTAAACAGTCCCTACGGAACACCAGGTCCCACAACAGTTTCATATTTGCAATACAACTTCTGTAAAACGACTCAGATTATGCAGTGCGTAATGTATCAAGCGTACTGGCTAATGGTGAGTTATAATGAACACTAAATATTGATATTAGCAATAAAGTGGAATACCTGTAGCTCGGGTTGTCTGTTCAGGTTTAGATTTGTTCTCTGAGTCGAAGTATTTCGTTGCAGACGTTTCACCACCAGTCGAGGTGACTTCGTCAGTGAGCGGTCAATGTTTCCTTAGTAGGCAATGACGAAGTCACCTCGATTGGTGATGAAACGTCTGCAACGAAATAGTTCGGCTCGGAGAACAAACCAAAACCTGAAAAGATCGATATCATTGGTAAAGCAACGTGCAACTCAGATCAGAGCTGAGAGGAGAGAAACCTAGTAGTAACAGCGAACATAGATAGCGGTATCACACAGGGAATCAAAAAGAGCACTTTGGCGGTCGAGCAAACAACCGCGCATTCACCGGGGAGAAGTATTATCATCACAACCACCATTATCCACAGCATCACCAACAGCGGCAGCCTCACTGCATTGCGACTTAAAAAGGAGAAAAAAATCACAAGTGGTTTTTCCAAGTTAGTGCAAGGTTGTGTTAAAAATTAGGCTAGATCATTTGAGCCAAAGGAAACGTGTGCAGACCAATGGGTAATGCAGCGCTGGAGTGTTGTTTAACGGAAAAAAACGGGGCAAGCAAAGAAACATGAAAAGCTATCACATATATCAAACACAAAGAGGAATAGAAATAATAAATGTAGGGTGTTTCGCGACCTACCATCTTTGATACAGATAAATAAGGAAGATGACATCGTCCCTCAGGCATGCAATCCGGTGTGATGTCGGCATGGTAATAATCATGGCAAAAAAGTCATCGATAAACGTGTTGAAGGCCTGGAAGTAGAATAAACAAAAATTAGTTTCAAGAAGTGAGTGGGGAAAATCGTTGATTTGAGTTTGGTGAGTAACAGCCCAGATGTCACGGAAGGGTCAATCAAATGCGAATCGAAGGGGGGATTTGCAGTGTGAATTCCCATCTGTCCTGAATGAGGTATCAGCAAGTGGACACAGCATCCGATTTGTGAAAAAGTGGTGATGTCGGTTAAAGCGAAGTAGGTCAGAAAGATCAGAGGTGGAGGTGAGCGGCATAGCAGTGAGATATCGGTGAAAACGTTTGGTGGTGACATTTGATGAATTTTTCAATGCGGTGGTCATCTTAGAAAGATGCATTACTGGAAGTATTGGCATTATGCAACCTGATCGATAGATCAAAAAATGACCCCACATGTTTGTTTGGGGGGATAGGAAGAAAGAAAACTAAGATAGTTATGGTGAACGAGGTTCACAGTCAGGTAGATTTGGTTTATTCGAGACAAAATCACAGGGCAAATCAAATGCCAGAACCTATATTCAAAGTTAAACAGCGGGATACTGCTGCGTATCCACAGTCTGTAAAATTTAGTACTGAACGAGAGAAACGGAACTATCAGAGACGAGGAAGGAGAATGACATGGTGATCTAGTGACTTATTTGGCCGTGGATGATTTAGAAGCTCCGTTATATATATATATATATATATATATATATATATATATATATTTGAGGAACCAGTCATCTTTCCTTGTACACCGAGATTTTGTAGGACCTAGTAATGGGGAACTACCATAGCAGACTTAAGCGTTTATGAAGGCCAAGTCCCAATGACGAGGATCGCTTGCAAGTTTGCCTAACGGTACAAGGCTCGATGACGGTCAAAAACCATTTGACGCTGACCGGCATTCCGCTCAGAAAAATATGGGTATTAGTCTCACTATGGTGAGGCGAGACATGTTATGAACTCGGTTGGTTTACACAGAGTGAAATCTTTGCGATAAGACAAAGTATCAGTGAACAACTGCAAATTGAGACGCCTTACCAAATCCCAGATGCAAGACTCCTCCGAGAATGCAGTTTTCCGCACATAAATGCTTGAGCAGCTAAAACGATTGGAAATGTACTAGGCACGTAAAGTTTCGCTTTGTACCTCACAAATTCGCCCGGGTTTTGAGGATTACATACAGCAAAACCTCTGCAGTTGAATACCTCTATATCCTGACAACCTCTTCAAGTTGACTGTATTATTTTTCATCTATTGAATATTTACCATGTAGACCTTATGGATCGAGACCTTTGTATGTGGACCACTTTGGGTCAGTCCTTACAGCGGTCAACTTACGGAGGTCTTACCGTATGATAGGTGCAGAAAGAAAGAACGGGAGTAATGTATACAAATTTCCAATGAAACAACTTGAGAATAAGTGGAAGCACCCCTTGTGGTTGGTGTTTAGACTGGGTAAAAGGGGAGGAAGGGAGAGATTAAATGTAAATTAGAAATGGCTAAATGGTAAGTTGATCGTATCTCCTAGGCTCATTGTTAATTAAAGTGAATTCAGACAATAGACCTACATAGGATGTGTCTCTGGTGAAGATGGCTACGTGACCATCCTTTCTCCTTATAAAATGCAGGTCGCAAGAGGCTGTGCAGAGTTGGGAGTGTGCGTTAGCGTTATCGAGGAGCTCGAGTTTTCCACGCTGTGAATGATTGACTGTGGTTTGGGCAGCGGGCAACAACTGGGGTCCGGCTGCCCTTGGTAACCATCGTGAGTTATTCCGTCTTATACGGGAAACGGGCAGCAGGAGACCTGGTGTTAGTGAAACTATACGTGACGAGAGTGGACAGCCTATCCACAACTTATCAAAACGCCTGGAACGTTGGGCTGAGCACTTTGAAAGGCAATTTAATCAGTCGGAATTGTTAGATTTCTCGCCGACCAGTGATCGCCCCGCTCCGTGGGCTGTTCCTTTGGATCCACCCTCTCGCTCAGAAGTCGAACATGAGATCGGACTGTTGAAGTTGAACAAAGCCGTGGGACCTGATGACCTTCCTCCAGCCCTCTTCAAATTCGGGGGACCTGCTCCTGCAGATGATTTACACGAGTTAATAGTGAGACTGTGGGAGCAGGAGACTGTCCCAACCGATTGGAGCCGCTCCATCATAGTCCCAATTTTCAAAGGAGGCTCACGATCGGAATGCGGCAGCCATAGAGGAATCAGTCTGATCTCCATCGCCTCCAAATTGCTTGCCTCTGTCATCCTTCACAGAATCACTGGCACTCGTGAAAGCCAGATTCGCGAAGAGCAAACTGGATTTCGTCGAGGTCGTAGCTGCATTGACCACATCTTCACTTTGCGTCATTTGTTGGAGCACCGTCACATATATTGGCGGCCCACCATTGTCGTGTTCCTCGATATCAAAGGTGCATTCGATTCAATGGATAGACATGAACTTTGGGACTGTCTACTCAGGAAAGGTGTACCTGAGAAATATGTGAATATTATCCGAGCATTATATGCGCGTAGCTCGGGCAGAGTGAGGGCTTACGGCAAGTTGTCGTCGCCCTTCAATATCTCCAGTGGCGTGAGACAAGGATGCCCGCTGTCACCTTTCCTCTTCAACTTCGCTGTTGACGAAGTCATAGAAATCGCGTTTACAGGACACGACTTAGAAGGTGTGAAGCTACTCCCAGGAGAACGACTTCTTGATTTAGAGTATGCTGATGATATTGCCCTCATCTGTGACAGCTCACAAACCTGCCAAGCGGCACTGGACAGATTAGCACTGGCTGTCTGTCACTTCGGGCTTTGCTTCGCACCCTCGAAGTGCAAAGCGTTTCTCCAAGATTGGTCTGGACCGCCTCCTACGCTGACCCTTGGTGGGGATCAGCTAGAAGTCGTTCAGAAATTCAACTACCTGGGAAGTTGTATCAGCGCCCGTGGGATTGAAGATGAAATCACGAATCGTATAGCAAAAGCTCGGGGCGATTTTGCTAACCTTCTCCACTTATGGCGCCGGCGCGACATCACTCACCCTGAAGGGTAGAGTGTACAATGCAGCAGTACGTTCGACCCTACTGTACGGTTGTGAAACCTGGCCGCTTAAAGCAGCGGACCTCAAGAGGCTAGTTACGTTCGACCACCGGTGCCTTCGTAATTTAGCTCACATCTGGTGGGAACACCGCGTGAGCAAAGAGCGTGTTCGACGCCTTGTTTATGGCACAGGAAAAGGAAATGAACCGCTCAGCACCGTTATTTCACGCATCAGGCTCCGATGGCTCGGCCACGTGTTACGCATGCCAGCCCACCGACTCCCGCGACGTGTATTGTTTGCGCGCCGGGGGTGTGGATGGAAGAAGAGGAGGGGTGGCCAAGCGATGACTTGGTCCAGAGGAATGAAGGCCCTCACTTCTGAGCTGACCTCGGTTGGAGCGTCTCAGCTCCCTGGTTGGGGTCCAAAGGACGATGAACACGTTTGGTTGGACACACTTGCTGATATGGCAAGGAGCCGACCTCAGTGGCGTTCATGCTAAGAGTTTCTTTGTCCCACCCCATGCCTCTTAGCCTCCCCCTCCAACCACGATCTCATTATTTAGCCTTATATAATCTTGCATAATATTTTTTTCTTTTTGGGTGCACAGCAGCCGGCTGGTAGCTTACCGGAACGATGCCCATCCGTTACCGGTAGCTCAGCCAGCTTGCACCAGTTGTTGTTTTTCTCCTTTTTTCTATGTATTGCGGCACAGTAGCTGAGGTGTTCCCCACCTCTAGCTAACGTGTATGATGATGATGATGATGATCGTCATCGCTTGCAAAATGGCTGTACGTTAACTCATTGGGAGTGTTGGAATTGACGATTATCGGATAGTGGATGTCGAGTTTCCGTGAAATAGAGAGAGCGACGTCGTTGGGAAGACTGGGGGTTGATACTCACCGGTCAACAAAGGCTTCTGTGAGTAGGATAATGATTGAAAAGGATGAGCAGCTGAATCATCCTCAGTCACGTAGGCTAGTAAGCTAAGCTGGAAATTGGAGCAGCAATTTAGCCGACCCGGTGCATCGGAAATGTTACTTGAGCAACATAAAGCGACCGAGAAAGCTCAGATAAAAACTACTACCATCGATGACATCAGACCACAGCTGGTGTTGATGAAGTGGAATAGGGTTAGTGACACGGACCATGTTACATCACTGTTGCTGAAGGACAGTGACGATTCGGTAGTGACTGCTTGGGGTATTTCATTCCACAGTAATAGGAGATCGTCAAACATCACTTTCACATTTGAGAAAGGCAAAACGGCTTGCCGTGAAAATCACCATAGCCTTAGTCTCAGCTCAATTGTTTCCGAATTGCATCTCGATTCAGAGGTCACCGATTCTAGTGATTAGACTATGCAGTGAAATCCAAATCAAATGGCTTGCCAGCAAAGGGTTGCGTGATGACATTTTTCACTCTTCACTAGGTGTGTCAAAATCAATATGCTTGTAGATAGCGTAGTATGGCAATGCTTTTTGACTTGAGGACTGTATTCGATTCTGTTGATTGCACCCGTCCATGGCAAGTTTTAGATTTGAAAGTTGTACCTGAGCAATTTCCATTGATACTAAAATTTTTGGACCACGACTCCCGGGATCGTAAACAGTCTACGAAAAACTCTATCTTGAGTTCACCACTACAAATGAAGAAAGTCATGGTCCTATCTTCAAGCTTTATATCAAAGGAAGTGTTTTTGGAGTAGAGGATTTGATAGACGACCGATTACCAGAGGTAGAGCCTGTGAAAAACAAAAAGATTTTAAAGATCGAACCCAGATGTTTTGCACTTACGTAGAGCAAAGTAATAGGAACGAGCCAATACACCCCAGATAAAACAAATGTGGGACAAAAGTGGATTGTTTCACCTGAATTTGCAGCTGTACCATCTTTAGTGTTCACATCACCGAGGAGTCTACCAACAGCACAGTCTCCTGAGGCTTCTTGAAGCCTCAGTTAACTACGGAGAAAGTGGGATTTAAGATCCATGATTAGGGGGAGGATTCACGGAGATGTAATTAGGTCAAAGTTAATATATGGACTAGAGGAATGCCCACAACATGATCGGCAATGGTTGGCTACAGATGTCTGCGAAACGATGTACATGCATGGTGAGGTGCCGCGTGAGTACTGGTGGGTAGCATCACTTGGTATTTCCCCACAGATCGTGGGGCGCCACTGGCGTTTGTGCTGAACTCTAATCATCTAGAAGTGCTAACTTAAGTGCTTCATATGCTCGTAAGCCGCTCGGCTCTGCATCTGATGCTTTCCGATGACAAGCTTAGTTGAGTGAAACCCCGTAAGGTTGTCAGCATGTGACATCGTATAACAGCATGGAGAAATTTATCGAACGTTAGGTAAGCAGCGTGCTTGTTAATTGGTAATTACGTTCTAGCAACGGTGCCTTGGTAATTTTGCTCACATATAATGGGAAAACCGAGTGAGCGATAAGGGTGTTTGGCTAGGCGTAGTTGGTGCAAGAAGAGCCAGCAGGCCGCTCAGTATATCTATATCACGCAGCAGACTCCGATGTCGAAGTCATATGCTACGTATCCCAGTATACCGACTCCCGCGACTTGCGATATATGTGTGACGGGGGCCTGAAAGGGGAAAGAGGAAGATCAACGGATGGTTTGATCAAGAAGAATGAAGACAGAGCCTCTAGACTCCTTGGTTGTTATCCGAAAGAAGATGAACATGTTTGGTTGGGTACACATGTTGACATGACGAAGACTTGGGCTCAAAGGCGCTCGTGTCGTTAATACCCTCACTTCTCTCTCACTCCCCAATCATGATCATATTCGTGGTAACGAAAACAAGGAAGAATATTATCTTTGACATTTTCACGACCATGTGATAGTGTTGCACTGTGATACAAAGCAATGATTTACTCTCTCCTCCATTTAGTGGGTGGAATAATGATATGAATGATGGATAGGGGCATCTGGATCAGTGGTTAGATGCTTCATTGGATACGGTGCCCTTTCGAAATCGACGACATAACTGCTTCTGTTCCGTCAATCTCGACTCAGCCGTTCCATATGACGATTCCGGTTCTCTCCAATCCCTCATGGATCATTGTTGTTAGTATGATATCGGTGCTATTTCCTTAGCGATGTGAATCAACGAGACTGGATTCACCGCACCTCGATGCACGCATCATGGATGATCAATTGGGACGGGACTGAATATACGATTGAGTCCTGGAGGGGTGATGTTGCTATTTGGTCACGATTCCAAGAATTCGGTAGAAGACGCCAGTTGCAAACGATGATAAAAGCTTGCAAAAACATGTTCCACAAGGGATGGTGGAAGATCGGGATCAGAGTTTGATCACGATGTGTGTTCAGAAGTGTCACAAGCGATCGGTGTTTCAAGCAAAACCAAGAAGTCAATTTCGGAGAGAACAGGAAGAAACAAGTTCAAAGTCTTGTGTTTTAGATGAAGGAGGAAGTGAAACTAGTTCCAGCAGCAAATATAGCTGCACAATACAAGCCATTTCCATACTGCCCATGCCGCGTAAGATATCAGCAAGTGCTAGGAAGCTGCCCAAAAATCGAAGTTGGGCCAAGGGAAATGCATTGCGAAAATGACAGTAAATTGGCAAAGAAATGATTCGACAAAGAAGGAGGGTCGGTGGCAAGTGATCAACGCAGTACTAATGAAGTGTACCGGAAGGAGAAATGTGCACGTTGCGAGAGGCGCAGTAAAGCATAACAATTGTACACTGAGATACGGGTGCACTCACTTTGTAAGTCAATGCTTTCCATGGGAGGTGAGCAACTGATTTAAGCCGGTAGTTGATGAATAACTGAGGAGTCATGAAGAGAAATCCGAAAGCGTACACGCCTGGAACAATGAAGTGGACACTGAACTCGTTCGAATTTTAGAAATGCGCGAATGCTAGAGAACAAAATACGCACTTCCACAACAACAAAATCATAAAAGTGATGCACTAAGCCAGTGGAAAGGAAGTAAACACATACAGAGAGAAAGAGAGAGACAGCGGCTCGATAACACCCCCATTCGACAAACGCACGAGATACAATAAGCTAGCGGTCAAATTGATTGTAGTTTCCTCAAATCGGGCAACTGAATTAGTGTTGCTAACACAAGGGCAAACCAACCACTAAGGATGCTCGTCACAAGTTCGAAGGTGTTGTTGGACAAACCGGTCAGATCTTCTTGATGCAGCAGATTTGGGTCAGAATAATACTCATCACGTAAGTACTCCCATACGACTAGGCTTTACTGATGACCAGCATACACAGCGTCTGCTTCATACAACGCGTCAACGGGTCAAAAGGAATCAGACCAACTGCAGGTAAAAGGGACACGTGACGCGGAGATTCCGGTTAAGTTGGAGTAGTGGGTGGAATTTGTGAGGACGGTCCAATGAATCAAACCTCCATATCCTCTTGTTAAAGACGGCAATATGCTAGTGAGCAGGATTAGTCCAAACCAGTTGTGACAGAGAGATGAACGAAGTCGCCAAAAGACGGCAACAGTAACTGAAAAACTAACTGAAGGTGCGGACAAAGGAGGCTTAAAACCAACGGGATCACGCGAAAATCCGGTGTTGCGCAATCGAATGGAGCAAAATGACACGACATATGCAGTGTATCTAAAGTCACAAAATGCTCACCGTGAACGAGAGTTTCTAAGCACCAAGAATACCAGCTGAAAATAAAAAAGACTGATGACCAACAGAGGTTTGAAGAGGCATGCGAGTTACTGACCAGTGAACACAGAGATAATAACCAATTACAGCGTAATTGACACAGTTTATCCCTCTTTGATAGCAGTTTAGTGGGAACAACCAGTAAGACGGATCCACTCAAGTTGCACATCAGAATGCGAAGCGACATAGTAGGAGACGTGCACATCGTGTAGATAAACAAAAGCGGTGAGAACTGAGAGCATAAGGTAGTGACAGTGCTAAGAAATATACGATAAGACGGTTGGAGTTGGAACAGAGCAACGGTTACGTAAGGGATATGGTACCACAAATCGAATGCCAGCGTGAAATAAATCAATTGAGCGAAAAGTGTCGTGGTATACTAGCGGGGATAATGCTAGTCGATATTTGTGCAAAACATCTAGAAGCAGGGAAAATCGAAAGTTTATCACTTAATACATGATAGATAAATAGGGTGACAACGAACAAAACATAAACACATAAACAGGATGGGGTTGAGCTGAAGAATTAGTACTGGGTAGCAGCAGTCGCAAAAACGATCAGTGAAAGTAAGTTTGCACGGACAATAACACACGAGGAAGATCGAGAGACAGCTGAAATCCATACGCTGTATTAGTAGCCCACCACAGGCAGCTATGGTCGCTTCTAAAGCAGACAGCTTTGAGAGAAAAAAAGCCACTCCGTTTCCGCAAGTGGACATGGAAAGCGACAACCTATTTGCATTGGCAAGCATACGAAAATTACGCCAGTATCCACTACATACAACCGCCTATCCAAGCTCGGTATCAGTGACATATTAATCCGATATAGTGAACGGGAACCGAAATATGCTTGTCGGTAGTCTCTGATGGACTTCACTGAAAGCAGATAGCTCAGGACTCGTTGTTTGAGAAATTTAAAGTATTTATTTCCCTATAAAAAGTAGAGAAGCACGGAAAGAAGACGAAAGCTTTAGTCTTCTTTCCGCGGTTTTCAAACCTAGGACAACCGCTTAACTGAACAGACGTAATGGCGCACCGCGACAGTAAGAAAAATCAATCGTGCATGACATTCGGCAGCACCGTAAGCAATGCTCAACGCGACTCAAGATTAAGCTCTGTAGAACTTCTCACTTTCCGTTCCTCTTAAAATTGACAATTACTAAGCGATTACTACTAACTGGAAGGGCGTGCAGTGGGTACAAGAAACATACAACAGTGTCATGGACGTACAACCCTAAGGCCACAGTCAAGGAACAGTACCCACAAGCTTGAAAGCGCAAAAAATTGAGAAAAAGACCGTAGCAATAAAGAATGTTTGCGTTTACAGTAACACGGCAAGAAGAAGTATGGGAACCATGGTCACGCAACTATTTGTGGATGATATCAAGCAGCTACATCACTCTTCCACGGTTTCGGTTGGCGCCAGTCACACAAAGAGGTTTTGCAAACATCCAACATTAGTGATGAATGGTTGTGCATGACTGGTTTAACGGAATGTAACGGAAGTCATCAGAAGGAGCAGAGCTAACAACCATCTATTAAACAAAGCATAAAGTATGGAGAAGAGCAATGAAATATTGAACGAACGTTGATTCTCGTCCAGATGAGGAACATGTAAAGAGACACCGGCTGCGGAACATGCGGTAACAATAAATGGCAATTATAGCACCGAAGCACGAAGGGACGACATACAGAAGCCAGAGGGAGGTGTGCAACGCTTCGAGAGAGTACGGCTAACTAACTATACTGGACGGTGGGAAAACAAAAAATGTCGTGAATATAACCAGAGAGTGGTTCCCAGACGATGCTGACTGCGCAGTGGTCCGATCTCGGGTCAACTGCATGTAGATGAATAACAAAACTAACACGACGAACAAGGACAGGCGACGTGCCAGCGAGCGAAGATAGTGGCCAAAAATGGCAACAGGGCTTCGTGCAGATATGTGGTTCTTCAGAGTATGTCAATAAGGGCATGACTAGCAAGAATGCATGAGAAAAATTATGAAATGATTATGGCAGGTTAAATAACCGAAACAAAGCAAAGACACTGTTTGTTGATGCTAAGCAGATCACCATGAACTGAACACAGTCCTACAATCATCGTGGATTTATGGAGATACGCGGTTTTAGCAGCGGACCTTAAACTGTTCGTGACAAACTACCGACGATCAAGAAGCCGATATTGTGACGTCTTTCTAAATCGGGCATGACAAGAACTAAGTTGCGCGCGCGAAAAATTTGCACGCGAAATTGATCTGTGATGGGTGAGTTGGCACACAGAAGTAGCTCCTATTAGAGCCGGTTTAATTGGGAGCGGTGAAGCAGTAAGAGTGTAATTCGAGTGTATGACATTCAAAATGACACCGGCGAAGATAGTAAAACCACTAAGCATGAAGAAGTGAGTATGTTTACAAAAGGGGACACCAACATTGACAGTGGTATCCGGTGTTAAACAAAACGTAACGGAGGATAAAAAGATATGTAAAGCTAACCTTCGATGAGGCGTGTATAGAAGTGAGTAAACGGATCCAGCCAAACAAAGTGGGACCATCACACATTGTAACCAGAATGTGAATTGAGCGTCCAACTTGTCCGTCTCTAGCTCTGACACAGAACGAGCACCCCTTCGAAATCCATGCCTCAGGCTGAAAGAGCATTTAGTGAGGCGCAGCAACTTCCAAAATTCGATAAGGGTGGAGATGCCCATGGGGATTGTGACCAGAAGACTGCTGCGTTCCTCACGCAAATGTAGAAAAATAATCAACGAGCTAAGGAACCGCCAAACAACTACAGAGAAAAAGATGACATACAGGAATGTCAAAATGCAGGGTAGGGTAGAGGTCGAGATAGTTGAACACTGATAAGGAAGATACCATCAGCGCCATGTTGAAAAAGTAATTTGGACACAAGCGCTTCAAATAAGAAAGAGAAGAATATCACAAAATGATGTGCATTTGCGCCGACTAGGTAATCCATCACAAAATAGCGGGCGTACGAATGAAGATGGACCTCAGTTAGAAATCGCAAGACGTTAAGAATAATTTAGGGAGCGCATAACTCCCTGTTTGTATCGATCGGAAAATGGGTGCAATGAAAGGACAGAATACAGAAAGTTGATATAAGCTGACACAGACTACAACGAAATGATGGAAGCATAAAAACTGATGTCGGGATTAAATGTAACGGGGTTGGGAGACAAACGTTTTAGTAACAAGCGTTAACAACTCCACTGCGTGTAGGAATTCCATTATCCCCCAATCCACTAAATTTCACGTCTGCCTGGCTGTGACCAAGTAGTTCAACAGAAAGCGAATGGGTCGATAACATCCACGCGCAAACAGCGGTGGTCTATAGCTGCATAGTATCACCGGACCATCGCAATGAGGCTGCAACTTACCGTGGTGCGATGGTTTGTGTTCCTCAGTGATCCATTGAGCTATCCTGCGTGGTGCTTTTTTGCACCTTCAGAGCCACTCATACCACATTGGTCAGACAAACTCAGTCCCCTGCTCCTCCAGGTTGAGGGTTGGAATGAAGGTGGCACCTTATTCCTGAAAACGAACTCCTTGTAGTTTAACGCCAAACCCACTGCCTTGCGGTAAGGTTTTTTTTAACTTAAACCTTTGGTTGAGAACCCTAATCGTTCTCTTGTCTAGGCCTGCGCAATCCAACAGTATCCAGCCCACGCAATACAAAGAATCTCTCTTCAAACAAATTCCTGTTGCTCTGGTCACCGCAGAGGATAATCAACGATGCCCTATCTGCTGCATCGAGCAGGGTGGATAGGGGTTGGAATGTCACTGCTCAAACCTTCCCGTCTTCGTAATAACCCTCTTACGAATTTTTCCGTTATGATCCCGTTCCAATTTCACTTTTCATCCCCCAGTATTCAACCCCCGATTCTTGGCTCTCCCCCAACATGCTTTGCTAGGCGTTTAGCTTCTAGTTTCAACTCACATGTAAACGCGGAGCGTCACTCCTGTCCTGTCGACAAGCCCATGTCTAACCAAGCGGTCCACTCCAGTACATCGGCTTCCATTTGGAGCCCTCGATCCCCTTCAGATTGGCAGGCCTCAATATACACACATTACTACAGATCGGTCAACAGGCAGCACTTGCCCGAACCTGAGCAGCCCTCTCGATCGATATCTACTGCTTATCGGAGATCCCCTTGAAAAACTCAAGCTTTGCGATTCGCTTCAGGTGACACAAACACCACTTTCTCATGGCGCCTATCCGCTGAAGATGCATCCTCGAGCACTGGCCAAGCTGGTGTTGGCATTCCCCTGAGTCCCCGGGCTGAAGCTGCTATGGTTCATTGAATTCCAATCAGTAGCTGAATGTGTGCGGTCCGATTGGCCGGCTCATTCAAAGCTTCGAAGTCCCGCGGCACTAGTACGTGTCTATTCATCATCGCTGCCTACGCGCCCACAAACTGTAGGGACGATTCGGTAAACAACGACTTCTACCACCAATTTACCGAGCTCCTTCTCCACAGAAGATGCACGGATACCGTTGTGCTGACGGGGCATCTGAACGCACAAGTTGGAAAATTATCCACTGAGGAACTGCATCTGGGCGATCAGCACGGTGTAGGCTCTCATAATGATAACGATGAGCGGTTACTTCATTTGTGTGAGGATGCTCGCTTATTTCTTGCGAGCACTAACCTCCGACACAGCACTCTCAACAGGGTGACATGGTGCCTACCAGCCTCAAACCAAACTTGGACGCAATTCGATCACATTGCAATCAGTTACCGATGGAGAGGCTGCGTCCGGAACTGTTGCTCGATTTGGAGCACATGTGTAGACATCGACCATGCACTTGCATGTGCTGACCTGTGGATGCGCTTTGGCGGACGCCCGAGAGGACGCTGTGAGCGCATTGACATCAGTCAGCTGGCGAAGCCAGTTATTCTGAATGCCTGTCAAAATACGATGTCATGAGAGTTGAGTAACCGCTCAATGGATACAAGTGAAGCAGACTGGTCTCATAATCACCGGATCTTATCAGCAGCAGGAGAATCCCCATGCGGAATGTCTAACCGTCAACATGGACATTAGGTCACTTCGAAGTCTCTGGAAGTTATCTATGCTCGCAGGCATATTCCGGCTGGAAACGAACACAATGAAACTCGCAAAGAGCACCGGGCAAAACCGTGCTGGCCTGAAGAGAAACCACGAACCTTGGCGATTTTTTCGTGTGTCAGATGTGGAAGTGGACACCGCCCTTGTTCACCATCGACAGTTATTCCGTCTGTTACGGGAATCGGGCAGCATGAGACCTGGTGTTAGTGAAACAACTTGTGACGAGAGTGAACAGTCTATCCACAATTTGTCAAAACGTTTAGAGCGTTTGGCTGAGCACTTTGAAAGGCAATTTAATCAGCCGGAATTGTTAGATTTCGCGCGGTTCACTGATCGCCCCGCTCCGTGGACTGTCCCTTTAGATGCGCCATTTCCCTCAGAAGTCAAATGTGAGATCGCAATGTTGAAATTGAACAAAGCCACGGTACAACATGATCTGCATCCTGCCCTCTTGAAATCCAGGGGATCTGCTCTTGTGGATGATTTACATGTATTCCTTATGAAACTGTGGGAGCAGGAAACTGTCCCAACCGACTGGAGCCGCTCCGTTATTGTTCCGATATTCAAATGACGCTCTCGTTCGGAATGCGGCAACCATAGAGGAATCAGTCTGATCCCCATCGCCTCCAAATTACTTGCCTCTGTCATGCTTCACAGAATCACTGGCACTCGTAAAAGTCAGTTTCGTGAGGAGCAAGCCGGATTTCCTCGAGGTCGTGGCTGCATCGACCACATCTTCACTTTGCGTCAATTGTTGGAGCACCATCACATATATTGGCGGTCCACTGTAGTCGCGTTCCTGGACATCAAAGGCGCCTTCGATTCGGTTGATCGATGTACCCTTTGGGACTGTCTACTCAGGAAAGGTGTGCCCGAGAAATATGTAAACATTATCCGAGTATTATACGCGCGTAGCAAGGACAGAGTGAGGGCTTACGGCAAGCTGTCGCCGTCCTTCAATATCTCCAGCGGTGTGAGACAAAGATGCCTGCTGTCGCCTTTCCTCTTTAACTTTGCTATTGACGAAGTCATGGAGATTGCATTTACAGGACACGACTTAGAAGGTGTGGCGCTACTACCAGGAGAACGACTTTTTGACCTGGAGTATACAGACGATATTGTCCTCATCTGTGACAGCTCACAAACGTGCAAAGCTGCACTGGACAGATTAGCACGGGCTGTCAGCCGCTTCGGGATTTGCTTTGCACCATCGAAGTGCAAAGCGTTCCTCCAAGATTGGCAGGGATCGCCTCCTGCGCTGACCCTTGATGGGGATCAGCTAGAAGTCGTTCAGAAATTCAACTACCTGGAAGGTTGTATCAGCGCCCTTAGGATTGAAGATGAGATCACGAACCGTATATCAAAAGCTCGGAGTGCTTTTGCTTGCCTTCGCCACCTATGGCGGAGGCGCGACATCACTCTCGCCCTGAAGAGTAGAGTGTACAATGCAGCGGTACGTTCGACCTTACTGTGTGGTTGTGAAGCCTGCCCCCTTAGATCAGCGGACCTGAAGATGCAAATTACATTCGACCATCGGTGCCTTCGCAGTTTGGCTCACATCTGGTGGGAACACCGTGTTAGCAACGAGCGTGTTCGACGCCTTGTTTACGGCAGAGGAAAGGCAACTGAACCGCTCAGCACCGTCATTTCACGCACCAGGCTCCGATGGCTCGACCACGTGTTAGGCATGCCAGCCCACCGGTACCCGCGACGTGCGTTGTTTGCTCACCAGGGTTGTGGATGGAAGAAGAGGAGAAGAGTCCACGCGATGACTTGATCGAGAGGAATGAAGGCCCTCACTTCGGAGCTGGCCTCGGTTGGAGCTTCACGGCTCCCTAGTTGGGGTCCAAAAGACGATGAACACGTTTGGCTAGATACACTTGCTGACATGTCTAGGAGCCGACCTCAGTGGCGTTCCTGCTGTGGGTTTCTTTGTCCTTCCCCATCCCTTTTAGCCTCCCCCTCCACCCACGATCTCATTTCGTAGCGTAATATAATTTTACATAATAATTTTTCTTTTTGCCTAGTAGCTGGCTGGAAGCTTACCGGAACGATGTCTATCCGTTGCTGATAGGTCAGCTGGCATATAACTGATGCATTTATGTGTTATTCTTTTATGTCTTGCGACACAGTAGCTGAAGTGCTTTACATCTCTAGCTAACGTGTTATAATGTATAATGAGTATCAGCGGTGATGCACCAACTGCACTCTTATTGTTTTAGTTCGCCCGAATGTTTCATGTCACGTTGGGCACGGGGTCTCGGTGGAGCGTTAGTCTAGTACTTCTCTGACAGGTCCAAGTTCACTAAGTCACTGCCTGAGTACCTCACTAAGAACGACTATCGGGTGTACCATGAAGAAGTGCATTGGGGTAATACACTAGACGTTGTCTAGTCGATGAATATCGAGTAAAGTAAGCAATGAGTGTTTCGATAAGATGTGTGCCGGCTACTCACGTGTGCTGCTTCTTGCGGAGTCAGGATAACAGTGCACACTCACCCCACTTTACTTCTAATGTAGATCGTTCATACTCCCTAACTTGCGAATGAACCAGAACTCGGGAGAAGATGCGTGGAGTGGATGTTTGAGAACATGGAAACCAAAAGCTTAGGTGCAGCGCATGGCTGTTCCATTTTAAAACGTGGCAACCCAAATCAGGGAATAGTCACACTCTTCTGAGTTGGTTCATGACAAGACAAAAAAACAGGGTAACCTATACACCATGTGTCCCTCAGGCTTCCGAAAAGCGAATCTTAAGATGGACTTTAGTGAGAATCCATTTAGCACGATATGATGCACTGTTAGCATCACATCCGTCGCAAAACCCGTCCGTTGTTGTGAACTGCCAGTACTGTTTCTTCGCCGGATGTCCCAGGTTGGCAACACGTAGTGTCCAAAGCGTGAGCGCTTCGATCCGGTGTCCAGTAGGTGATTTGGTAAACACACACACACACACACACACAAGTAGTCCGGGTTAGGTGCGGTTTAATGGAGAGCGATGAAATGCAAGAAGTGAAATTCGAACGCATTGCAAGCTGTCACTGTATCACTGACTGCGTTACCAGTTCAGGCTGACAACAGGTATTCCAAGACTACGTTATTCGATCGGTGTGTCACAGTGACTCCCACCGGATGTACGGACGGCTGATGTGCCAGCTATCATTCGGCATTGAGCTGTAGTATGGCTGACTGTCCTAGCATCCTGGCTATCAACCCACCAACGCCGAACAGCTCTGGTAAACGATACTAAGATGGCAGACATAATCAAGGAAACCGGTTCATGCAAGTGATTGAGACTTGAATAAGTCGGGAGAGAGAGAGAAGTGTCATGAGTACCAATTAACAACGGATATTTCTCGACAGAATATTGTACCGCAAAAGGTACAGCGACACGTGCGAGCAACACAAGAGAGTAAAATCGTATTCAGTGATAGGGATAAAATATCATACATCGGATCGCAATAAATAGTTAAGTGACCAGACCAGCTTTGAAACTCCAGCTGCGGATCTCAAATGGGACCATGGACTGCACGTTGAGACCATAACTCTAAATAAAAGAACATTCTTAGAATAGTAGACTCTTAGTTTCGCAATAGCACTAATCGATTTGAACTCACCGCGTCCTCCGTTATTGAATTTGAGTAGAAAAGGCCTAGCTCATGCAACAAACAAAGTTTAAATGCTGCTCAATCTCAACACGACTCTCCATGATCATATTCGCCATTGTGTTGGCAAAACAGGCAGAGAGAACAGGGGATCAAAAATAAATTAAGAACGTTGCGGTTGCCGGTAAGTGTTCTATAAGCGAAACATTTGACTCTTGTGGACAGCAGTTGCCACAGCGATTAGGAATCCGTTAACGGAATGTTGTTTTCGAGCTACAACTGAAGTTATACCCAATGACATAAATGTACAGATGGAAAAAACGTTCCCTGTAAGGATCCGGCACATGTCTCAAAGTGATGCTCTTATATGGATGTCTTCATCTCATACAAAGAAGTGAAACAATCAGGTTCGCATTTTCTGACCTAATCGCTCCACCATGCCGAATGTCAAATAAGGACCCACAGGAATGAGGACAGGATTATGTGCTACGGCAAATATATATCTGCAGGAACCGATATGGCAGAGCTCCATCTAGTTGCAATGCTATTCACATTTGTCAGTGACTAAGTAAACGTTGCACTGGTCCTCCTCTAATGCTGTGCTCGAATGTGGACTGCGCTAATAACCAGTGTTGCATCACACTAAGTCTCTAACCCAAATTGTAAGATCCGTTTTGAAGCGTTTCACTGCGTGGATCCAACAACTTCATGCGTTGGCGGAATATTTTGCAAGGTATAGTACCTCGTCCACTGCGGTGATAAAATGTGAAAAACTAGTGTCAAAGCCGGCAGATAAAATGTAGTCTATGGACCAAAATTCGAGGGGGAAAGCAAGCACGTTCTAAAAACACTCGGTACCCTGGCTATTCACACAACCGCTCATTACACAAAGAGTGTTAATGCAACAGGTTAGGGCCTAGTGCCTAATTGGCCGGAGGAAAGCCTCTGGAAGCTGACTGCTATAAGGAGAAAAGGGAAAACATAGTTTAATGGGCACACGCGAAAATAAGTAAACTAGAAATGGTGTGGATGCTTGCTGCAGTAGAGAGGCGTCTGGCGTCTGCGTCATCCCGAATTCTGAGGCTACGTTGAAGTCGAGGAATAGTCCTCGCATTAGAACGTGACGGAACAAGCAGCAAAGCAAAAAGAGCGCCAACACGTGTTCAGAGGTCAATGAGTGCAGCGACTCAACTACATATACAGAGAGAAAATTGTTCAATCCCTCAAATCCAAGGCTCATACATAGGCCAATGTGTCAAGGTCTGTTGGTCCCGTTTTGAAATGCTTTTTACACATGAAAAAGCAAAGATGTGTGCCGACGATGGCTGAGTAGTCCATAAATATGGGTCTGGTGGCAGCTGGATCGCATGAGTTCTTGGGGGAAGGCCAGAAAAATGATTCAACTGATAATAGGAACATCAAAATCACAACAATGAGGGACGCGTGTAATTTTTACACCCGTCACAATCGATCAGTTGAATGCAACGCTTTATACCTTCGGATCTTCGCAGAGGCAGAGTAGATTCCACGAGAACAAGGTTAACACAAACTGATGGTTCGTGGTAGATCACTATATCCTAAGGCGCGAGAGAAAGTGCAAATTTTCACAGAACGATATAGATAGATGCATAGAAGTACTCCTCGTGCAGGCTTCTACAGAACAAAAAATGTTACGCGGAAAACAGGTGCAGGAAATTAGCACGATGAAATCCCAGTGCCCAGGGACAATAAGCGTGGTGAGTCACTAGGCCAGTGCGAAATGGAGTGATGGCAAGAAGAGCACATCTTTCTGGTAGAAAGAAAACAGAGGCAAAAGATACATCAGTGAATTGCGAACCTGTCCGTGTGGATAGTCCTGTGGTGTTCTTCATCTTTCTCCAAAATGAAATGTCATTCTTGAACGCCAAAAAATCGAAAAGGAGCTGAAATAGTGAACGACCAAAAATACAATCAAGACCTGAGAAAAATACGCAATTGGGAAGTACTAAGAGGTCTGGGCGAGTGAAAACCGTATGCGAATTAAATGAGAAAAGAAACGCGAATGAATAAAAGCACTGGTAGACCGGAGGAAATTTGGAGACTAAAACGAGGTACTGATGAAAAAGACTGACAGGGGAGATGAGAGCAGTGCACGTCACATTAACTATTGGTAACTTGTACCTACTTAACAGTTTTGCAGTAGATATATAATAAAGCGGAACTTTGTCAAGATACGCAAAACCGACGCAAACATTCCGAGCATAGAAATAGGACCAAAGAAAAAGAAAATGCGTATCTCACTTAAGATAGTGAACTCAGAGAGGAGATATGTGGTTAGGGGCACTCGCCTCGATGACTTGACTCGAAAGCCTACCATCAACAGTTAGATTGAGGCAACCTGCTCGCAGCTTTTGATTCCATAGCCCAATGCGCAAAGGAATAACACGCAGATGCGCTTTAGTAGCGCAAGTATAGAGTTCCGCAAGGACCTAGTTGAGATGCGCAGCAGGCGGTATTGGTAAGAAAAGAAAATGTCGAGTGGGTTTAATGGCAGCGTTGATAAATACGCCAGCGACCAACTCAGTGAATGAAATTCGTTAAAATCCACTTTGGGAAAATGCAAATGCTAAGGAATAAGGGTAGCAGGCTTTAATTTATCTGGAAATCTCACAAAGCAAACGGAGTTTGCCTTACGGCACTTACGAATATTTTGTATTTGTATTCTAACGACAGTAGTTATATTTCCCCCCCCCCCCCACCAAGGTTTTGTGATCCTGAGCGGATAAGGTCTTTGCAGTTAAAGTTTCCCAAGCCTGAAAACGAAGAAGCCAATTCCCGACTGAATTCAAACGAGCTGTATGTGGTGCTGTAACAAATTAAACTGACAAGGTGTGGTGTATGGCTCAGTTAACGGCGCAAAGGATGAGCCGTACTGTCAGCTGAGAATATAATTCTCACGAAAAAACATCGAGGAAGTACGGATAATCCAGGATTTCGAGATGGATGAGCTGAAAAGAAATCGGAACTGGGTCTAGTGCGAAATGAGAGTAAACCGCAAAATCACGAGCCCCTCATAATGCTGAAGACTGAAAAGAGAAGCATATAGTCCGCTGATTTTCCTGAGGAGCGAAGTAGAACGACCGGTCCGGTTAGAAATTGAATATAAGCAGTGTGGATTGGTTAAAGCCTGAGGGCTGAAGATATACTAGGTATTGAGTCGAAAAAGTTAGTGAGGTATAGATAGTAAAGCAACCACCCGAAAACACATCAAATTGAACAATGAAATTGAAGGAGTGTGAAATTACTTGAAGGCGCACAATAACATAATCGTTAAACGTGCTAGAAGAACCAGGAAGGGATAATAAGGTCTATTCTTGTTAGGAGTCAACGTGGTCCGATATTAGCAAGTGTATATGAAACAGGAAATTTCCTTTATAATTCCAAACAGAAAAGGCAGAAGACGTAAAGTGTGAGATGACTCAGTCATTTCGTGCAAACTCGTTAATTAAAATTATGCAAATATTATAGATACACGAAACGCGGTTATACGAGCTCGGTGGCTGGTCAATCGTTGACCAATTGTCACGCCTCAGGCTTCCACGGTAGGTTAAGATACACAGCTGTTGTAGCACAAAGCGGTGACCGTGCTCGATGGGGGACAGTAGCGTCCAATAGCCTGATAATGTGGGGCCGATGATTGCGCATCCGGTCGATGAATCACTCATCGGGATAGACTCGGTGGTCGGTCACGTGCTGAAATGCGATTTCAAGATTTCTTCAACACTGTTCAGCATTCCTGACAGAACATCAGCATTTCTGGCCGCTTGTAAACCACAAAGGTACAGGAAGTAATTACATTGCGTAAATGTGTTCGTTCGCATTCCCGATCCATCTGGCTCGAATAGTTGCCTCAGTTTTGGCCTTCCCCATAAATAATTGTCAGAAAATTGTAAAGGATTCGAAACAATTAAATCCCTTCAGTAATCTGAATACGCCACAAGAAAAAAAAACTGGCAGATGTTAGAATTTCGTGTTGTCTCTTCAATGATAATAGAATAAGATAAACTAAATAAAACGACAGGTATAGTGAGACCGGAACAAGTTAGGATAGGGTGGAGAACAGGCGACATCCTACGCCCAGGGCAGCCGTAGGCTTATGAACAGTTGTTTCTGCACACAGAGTGCCGGTTTGATACGGCTGATCGCGACTGCCTGTGAAACGTAGGAAGCGGGCGTTTGCATGTCTTAACATGATTGTAAACATTGCGGCTGGATTAACCGGATAACAGGTGACCAGTAAATGCCCCGTGAACAGGCGTTATGGGTAACCGAAGACTGGGTGATTTGACGTTGAAACCAGTTAGGTACATGTTCCCTTATTCCAGTTAAACATGCTGTCAGTTCAGCCGAAGTAACGTGTATTACAGCTACTGGTAAATTGGTAGATACAATGTGAGTTGGCGCCAACAGGTTGTCTTTCCATCGAGGGAGTAACAGGTATTCGATTAACCCGGTCGATAAGAGCAGTTTCAACTGAGTAATAAGTCAGATGGACAGCGAAAATTATGCCCTTCGTTGTCCGCATATTAGTGAAAGCACCCTTAAATGGGGCATATCCATGCAGAAATTATTTATTTTAGATGTGGGGTCAATCGAGAACATCTGGGTGCGGATGCCATTTCCTTGTGGGTACCTTTAGCAGGTTTAGGGAGTTGATGAATGAGCTAATAGTGGGATGAGTGGTTGGTAGTTGAGCAGCAATCTGTTTGAGTGGGCGAGAAGTACGCCATCAGGAAGGAATTCGGATTACCAAATAGGAGTCGGTAGTAGGCAACGGGGAAAAGAAGAACAGGTGTAGTCTGATGTTTGCAAGGGTGTAAGAGTTATGATAAATGGGGTTTTGAAACGGATTCATAAGTTGTTAAGGATGAGTCGGGGCATGTCCTACATTTCTCTAATAAAAAGTGGTGGGATTCATTGTGTAAGGAGGCGGAAGGCAGTGATTGTCCGAAAGACAGAAAGACCAGGAAACCGAGGGCGGACGGAAATGGGAAAAGGCACAAGGAGGGAGGGAAGGCGGAGCCACGCTGGTCTGACAGAAGGAAAGCAGAATGGTTCACGAGCGGCGTAAGGTAGTGAGTCTGAGCCAGGCAGAACAGAGGGTATTCATCGAGAAAGCAATAAATCAGACAAAATTACAGTTATTGTAGCCTCCCGGACCGACCCCAAGCAGAGTGATGTATCCACGGTCAAGCAAATCACTAGTTATCGAAGGAAATGAGTAGAAGCGGAAATACGGGAGTGAAATGGGCATGGAATATTCCACCACGAGGTACCCAAAGTGCATGCGCATGTCGCGAACGAAAGCCACGAGAGGTGGTGCGTCGTGGGAAGGAAACGTGACTAATTAATGTACGCCTGCGTGAATGATGGCATACTTTGTGATCGCGCCAATAAAGATTGTGCTTCATTGCCGCGTCATTCTTGCTACAATTGGAGCAAAGTGAAGTTGAAGTGGGCTGGGGTGGGTATCTGGTCAGGTATGTGTGGCTGACTTACATCAGCGACAGTTGTGAAGGTAGGTTACTCGCCATATTGGACAATCCTCCCGGCTTCGTCCAGTTACACATCCTCCGCGCTATCCGTGAACCAGCTTAAACAAGGCTGTGAATGGAGTTGAAAGGTTTTACAGGAGTCTTTGCTGGTGCTAAGGTTTGTTTGTGTAAAAGAGCGCGGAGATAAGGTGAAGGAGTGTGGATAACATGTGAGCGGCTGAGGCCTCTATTCAACCCTGTAAAATGCGGTTTCTCAAGCAGAGAAAGTCAACGGGGTGAGAGTATACTTTTGGGCATTGCCACATCCATATACGGTGGGGACTGCTGCAGCGATTTGCGCTCCTGTGCTTCTGCGTTGGGAACTTTGGATTCGGCGTTGTTCCGTTTCCATACGTTCGTTGGTATCCAAGCTTTAAAACGTTCCCTGCTATTAGATTGGCGTAAGATGTTCAAGTCTCTCGGAGTTTAAGGCCAATGTGACTGTTAGACTGAATATCATCATTTGACGACAGAACAACAAAATTAGTCTCACAAGTCTGAAAGAAATGGTATTGAAATTCAGCAGTAGAGTCAATATTAGTGTCGCTCATGTCTGAGCTGATATTGGACATACAACTTGCAGTGTTAACTGTGATGGCAAACAATGTGGATGAATATTCCATGTTCGCAGCAGTCAAAGGTAAGAGTAGTGCTTTCTTGGGCTTACAATGGAAGGGAGATGCAGCCTTGGGCCGAGGTCAATGGACAAATGAACAACCGAGTCAGGTACCCAATATTCACCGCGATAAGATAGCTGACCAGATTCAGAGTCATTGACACACATGAAAGAAGTGCTAAGAGGCATATCACATGCTAAATCAATGGCTATTGTAGACAGCGCAACCAAAAATGTGTTGTTCAATTTAGTCTGTGAAAAGCTTTGTGTTTTCTTTTGGTTTTGTGATCAGAGTGAGATCTTGCTTCGGAGACAAGTCGAGATCTACCGTCGGAATGAAGGGTAGATGGACAGGAGATTCAGCAGAAATATCGCTAGTGATAGTGCCTTTGCCCACAGGTTTAACTGACGACATTAACACTCTTTGAGGACGTTTTGTAAAGCTGAATAAAAGTACGCCCGAGAGTTGCTGTCGTGGACACAGCACAGTAGAAATACAGTTAACCACCACCAGGAGCTACAAGAAGGATCGCCACAAAAAAGATGCGGTCAACCGGGTTAACGATAGTGTTTCAGTCAGAGCGAACAAGCATCGAAGAAAGTTAAGACGTGGCACCACGAAAAAAGCAAAACGGCGATCAGTGAGAAATCCACTGGAGCAAGAGACCGCCTGATATTCCTTAATTCGAAGTAAATTGGTTTGGGAGTCGCAGCAGGATAGTCAAAATGAAGTGGAACAAACACTACGAAGATTTACGAAAAAACGTCATTTACCCATCCAAAAAATGAAAATGTTTGTTAAAAGACGCCAGTCAGAAAGCACAACCTATTTAATCCAAATTAGGTCCAACGAACCAATGAGTTAAATCGTCTTCTGTTAACACTGGAGGAAGGTTATTTGGGCCTGGCACCTTGCTCCGCTTCAGCCGTACTAGTTTGTGTCCCATCAACTTGATGGTGGAGTCATAAGCAACAATCCATGCCGGTATAGTTGACTTGGACAACGGTTATGATGTAGTGTATCAGTCAGATCGTCATCTTCAATGGGCTCCGAATCGGAAGCGCATACATGTGACTTTTGCAGAGGTCCAGTCTAGTACAGTAATCTGCGGCCTTACAGAGAGCGACCCACGTACATTAAATGTCTCCAACTGCGGTCCCAGTGTCATCTGAGACACGAAAAGTGTAAACTAAAATCCGGTTACGTGATATTGTAATCCACAGGTCGCCGGGTTGAACTTTCGTATGTGTGGGTGATAGCTGTGTGTACGTAGCTACATACAGTAGTAGCACTGCTTTTAAACACAGTGGGCGCCGAAGTGCCACTTGGCGTCCCCCTGTAGCTGGCCAGCGATGGACTCAAATTGACCACATAACCATTAGATACAAGTGGCGTGGTTAAATTCTGGATTGGGGCTCATACTGGAGTACCTGTGTCGACTCTGATCATGCCTTGGTACGCTGTCGTTTCTCCATGAACTTTACCAAGAGGCGCACCAAGTGTCCCATACGATTGGCAACAGAGAAACTGTCTAAGTCCTCGGTCAGGCAAGCACCACAAGAAGCACTGTAGACCGAACTTACGCTGTCTTGTCCTAATGACGAAGAGCTTCAGTGGAATAGGATCTCGGCTGCCATGCACGACACAGGAGCATCTGCTTGTGACACTATCCATTGTCACCGCACCAGTCACTGGATATCCGAGAAGTAGGTGAACTTGTTGGAATCTAGAAGACACCGCCCGGCTGGCTCTGAACAGAACGTGACAAGACGGGCTATTAGGCGTGAACTAAAGCGGAGCCCACATGCTGACAAGGAAGCCTGGTGGACCAGTAGGGCTCAAGAAATGGAGGAGGCAGGAGCCATAGGCAATTACCGCAAGCTTTTCCAGCTAATCCGCACCACTGGTCCTTGAAAACCAGGCGTCAGTGACACAATCAGAGACAACGCGGGTGCGCTGATACACAATAAGGAGCGCCGTATGGCTCGTTGGGCGGAACACTTTGAAGATCAGTTCAGCTGGACCCCTGATCCCGGACCTCTTCTTATACGGCTGATGCAGGACAAGCCATGGACGGTTAGTTTAGAGCCTCCGTCAAGGGCCGAGGTCCGAAACGCGATCACAGCCCTCAATCGTTCTCGTGCCGCTGGCCCGGATTACCTCCCACCTGCACTATTTAAGGATGGAGGTGAGGTCCTCTACAAAGCACCGAACTCCTTATTCGAATGTATCTGGAAGGAAGAGTGTCCCGGCTAACTGGAGTGAATCGATTATAGTGGCAATATACAAGAAGGGCAGTCGCACAGACTGTTCTAACCAAAGAGGTATTGGCCTAACGCCAGTTGTGACAAAATTATTGGCCTCGATTATCGTTCGTCGCCTCACTGCAGAACGGCAATCTCGGATTAGGGAAGAGCAGGTCGGTTTCCGCCCAGGGCGTGGCTGTATAGACCATATAATCACTTTGCAGCAAGTGTTACAGCAGCACCACGCGTACCGCAGATCGACAATAGCTGTGTTCCTCGATTTCAAGAGTGCGTTCGATTCAGTCGATCTATCGATTCTGTTCGAAATGCTTGGGTGAAAAGGTGGTCCCACGAAATATGTGAACATCCTTCGTGCTCTATGCTCGAACACTACAGGCCGCGTCAGAATCAACGGTGACCTATCGGATAGCTTTCCGACCATAAGTGGCGTTCGTCAGGGTTGTCCGATTTCCCCGTTTTTGTTCAATTTCGTCGTGGATTCTATTATGGAGTGTTCCCTGATGGAATCCAACGATGTAGGCGTTGAAGTGCTGCCTGGTGAAAGGTTGGTTGATCTAGATTATGCGGACGATATCGTCTTGCTTTTCGACGATGTTGAGGCGGCACAATCAACCCTGAATAGCCTATCCAGAGTGGTTCGATTATTTGGTATGCACTTCACACCTTCAAGGTGCAAAGTGTTGCTGCAGGACCACCAGCCACTTGATGACCCATTGACGCTTGCTAACGAGGAACTCAAGGTGGTTGACCATTTCACTTATCTTGGCAGCTGCATCAGCAACGATGGGCGCGTAGAAACTGATGTCAGCTCACTCATTGCAAAGGCCAGAACTGCCTTCTTGAACTTGCGTCATCTTTGGCGACAGAAGGGAGTTTCCCTCCGTCTGAAAGACCGGGCATACAAGGCCACAGTGAGGGCCGTTCTGCTCTATGGTAGTGAAACTTGGCCCCTTCGGTCTGAAGATCTGAGACGCCTTCAAGTCTTTGATCATCGTTGTCTGCGAAGCATTGCTGGAGTCGGATGGCACCAGCGTGTCCGCAACGATGATGTGCGTAGGCGAGTACTAGGAGGTGATAATCATGCTAGCTCCCTAGAACAACAGATAGCACTGAATAAGTTGCGTTGGCTTGGGCACGTGCTACGTATGCATGGTCACCACTTATCTAGGAGGGCCTTGTTTAGTCTGCCAGGTGTAGGGTCGCGCAAGGCTCGCGGTGGACAGAAGTGGACTTGGCAGCGGGAAATGAAGTCACTGCCGAACAAACTGGGTGCTGTTGGTCCGTCTTGCCTTCAGGGCTGGAGTCCACGTGACTCGCCTTGTGCTTGGCTCTAGACTTTACAGGACATGGCTCGCAACCAACACCAGTGGCACGTCTGCTGCCGTCTTCTAATCGGATTGCCTGTTTAAAGTGTGTTTGGTGCTGAGTTATCTGCGGGGTAGTGAATGATTATGACGCGGGGCAGTGAAAGCCGCAAGGAAGCTGTCTCGCCGATGCCGCCTTATCTTTGCACGATAGCCAGCTGTTTGTGACGGTATGTTGTCTACACAAGGTGTAGGCGCTCTGACCCTGAATGTTTGCTTAGGGCATTAAGGTTTTCAGGTACGTCCGCCTTCTCTCCCTCTTCTTATTCTTTATTTCATGGGTCCTCATGGTTGTATGGCAGCGAAGCATCAGTTCAAATGGCTGATGTACTGCTGTTGATGATGATGATGAGCTACATACAGTCGCTAGTGGTTGCGCGGGAGTCACATCATTGTGCACTGCTGACATTGTTCTTGGGAATTCGGATTTTGTAGGCTAGATGCCTCAGAGCGCTGCCATGTGTGCTCTGGAGACAGCACGCATCAACTCCAACAGATAATGTTTCTAACAAGTATAGCCTGTTAACCGATATGATGGAGTGAAGGAACAATGAAAGGCGCAATGTGGGATGGCATTCTGAGTTGGAAAAATCGCTCGAGTTACATGCCAGGATAAGAAATGAATTCAATAATGGAAAGTGCCGCGCTAACATAAGACGACGCTGGAAAAATAAAAGAAACTCAGAGGTAAGGGTTTTATTCAGGGTTTCCCCTTTTAACCTAGACGCAGTAGTTATACACCAAAAGAGAAGTGGAAAAATCCAAATCTAGTGTGAGTGCAACTGTATGGGGAGATAATCGAGCCCGGTTACAGGCATCTTTGCAAGAACCAGAGGCAGTGGCTTTTAAACCATTGCAAAAAGTATACCTGCGACCATAATCGGCAGGCAAACGGTAGTCTGGTAATTTTGAATTCTACTGACAGGAGCCACCTGACATGAGGCGGATGTTGTCAATGCAGAGAACAGCAATTGAGCTCTAACAGTCTGGTGCAACTGGTGGAGAAACTCGTAAATTTGTGTCCCCTATGGTTGAAATTACAGGGAAGAGGATCACCGACCTCTTACCATTCTCCGAATATCAGGTTGAGAATGAGTTTGCCTGACCATTATACATTAACCTGTCTGGTGGAAGTGCGTGTGAAATCACTTGGAAGCGCCAAGAAACGAGGATCAATGGGCCACCACACAGGCGCACAGACCACTGAACAACGTCAAGTTTGGTCGCGATGATTGATGAAGTGCTATGGAATATGTTCTGTCGTACTCAAATACAATTGAAAATAATAACATAATGTTCATCAACGTCGCCAATGGGTAGTGTCACTACGGTGAAGTGTATTTGAAGCTGGAGTGCCATAACCTGTGGTTATCACTGTCTCTAGCTGATAAGTGAGTCGCCAGATGATAAGAGTTGTCAATGGGTTGGGAAACTACGATTGAGTGAGCATGCACACAATGTTGTACTGCCCACAGAATCCCGCCGTGGCCGCGGAACTTAGCAGCTGATAGCACGAAGGCAGAGAAACAGAAGAGACAAGCATAAAGGGCATAGGATCGGATGTGGCTATACATCGTACAGGGATACTTACGTGAAACACGGAAACAAACATTGTGGTTAAAAGAAAGTAAAAGTTGGTGTCGACCAGTAATTGACGGACTTCATCGATGTCCTTTGACCGAAAGCCTGAACAGAAAAGTGGGAATAAATGCTCATGATAAAAAACGAGAAGGGACTCATTGATAAAACAGGAGACGAGCATCAGCACATTACCGTATCGACAGTGAAGTTCCACAAAACAGTAGATTCCATTACACGAACGAATGAGGCAAGAGAGGCGAACTGGAACGAATTCTGTGGTTTTAAGAAAACCTAACTGTATATTGAAGTGCCATGCCGATAGATCTAATACACGAAACAACTGCTAGATGTCTGCAAAACACAAATGACATTGTTTCGTGGGTAGATTGTGACACCAAATGGATGTTCTTGGAAGTTTCGGTGCCGCTTATAAGAAAGCCATTCTGATGAGCTCAAGAGTAATTTCCGTGCTCTTCACCATCTTAAATTTCCCGGTTCAGCTTTAGTGTCCTACACTAACAATAGCACAAGTAAAAATAACTTATTGTGTATCGGAAAATCTCTATAAAGATTCGGATAGTTATCCCATAATGACACTGGTTACAACACCTCATGGGAGCTTACTGACATCCGCCGTCAAAGCAGGAAGCTGTATTCGAACAGCTGCACACATATGTGCATCGTGACCAAGGTACCGCGGGAGGAATGAAACTCGAGTTATTGAAACACAGCATTAGGTTGTCCATACACATCACAGACAAACACAAACCTAGTTGCATCGGACCGAATGACATGTTCGCTCCTATCCAGTGTCATTACATGGGTCGTTCACAACAGAAAGTCGAATCGTCCAGCATGATTCACAGTATAAACACGAATTCATAAGTTTTCACCCTACATTGTCTACTACTCAGTACATGAACACCACAAAATTTTAGATAAAAGTTCATTGAGCACAAGTACTTAAGTTGCAAAACATGAATATAATCTCTCTTAACCACACCACCGTAGCTAATCGAAGAAATATGTTAACGTACTATTACCGAGCACGTTGCTGTCGACGTGGTGTCTACTGCTGATCTTAGTTATCCGCTAACCCGTAGATCATGCCGGAAGAATTTCTATCGCTTACAGTTGAGCAACATTTAAGCCACACCTATAATAATTATAACATGAGAATAATAATAATAAGACGTATATTTATCATGATCCGAGAAATCGCCTGTGGCGGCACGGATCAATTTGTTAAAGTGTCCGTGCTCTTGCATGGGTGTTATGCATATGTCCAATGTTGATGCATGTGACTCATAAACAGCGTTTTAGTGGATGGTTGAGGTGCAAACTAAGGCTTCGGAATGCGGGTTCTTGAAGGTTTTTGGGCGCTTCTTGGAAGAGCTCATCGAGCGATTTTTCCCATGTGAATAAAGAGATTATGGTAGTTAGATCAAGGTAATTGGCCAGTCTGCTTCTAAATGTTGCCACATTGTCACATGACCTGAGTGTTATTGGTAGTTTATTCCACAAATAGCTATATCTGATCAAAAAGAAATGTCAGCTCATGCTTGTTCCAGCCTTTGGCATAATCAGTGTACATTCTTTGTTGTGAAGCTTTCGAACTGCGCTATGTTGCAGCTCGAGCGTAGGCAGATCGGAATAGGTCTTTTTGTGTAGCAGGTTGTAAGGCAGCAACAAGCAATGCTTCAATCATTGCATCCAAAGCGGTTCGAGTTAAAGTTTGTTGCAACCTCTTGATAATTTATGACAGAATGCTTAACAAGCAGCTGTTTAGTAAACGACCTCCATAGGTGTTCCAGACCAATACTGTCGCTATCTCTCATCTTACCGTATATTATGGTACAATACTCGAGGATGGGGCGAGCGAATACTGAATACTGGGAATAGAGAGCGAGATGAAAATCTATGTTGCTCCATCGTAGGTGGATCGGGCACATGCGCGGAATCATGTTGCTGATTCCTGCGCGGTGGCAGCATGTTGCAGCTGCATTACATCCTATCCGGGTACGATACGCTATCTACACCTGTAGTCCGCAAAGTGGGCGTCAAGGAATCTCTTGAATTCCGACACCGATTTCGCCTCGACTAGTGTCTCCGGAAATTTGTTCCAATATGTCACCACTAGAAGCTCGAAGCATAGAGGGTGAGCGATGTGCTTTAAATCCGGTACCACTGGTTTGTACCGGTGTCCGCGTGTGCTGCTTGGTGCGCGAACGTGCAGCAGCGGCTTCAACATAGGGAAGCGGCCCAGGTGCAGTGTCCGGTGTGTCAAATTGAGATCAACTCGAAGCCGACGATATGACAGGGTATAAAGCCCTAGTCTCCTGCATCCGTCCTCGTACGACACCCCGTAAACTGGGGATGAGCCGAGTAGCTACATGCTGGATCCATTCCAGTCTCTGCACCTCACCTATTATGATCGGGCAATAGGCGGGTGAGCCGTACTCAAGCACTGGTCTTATTATGGAAGAGAATAGACGAGTGGCAATCTCTTCAGACTAAGTGCAGAAGCTGCGTCTAAGTGCCCAAAGCAAGCGTAGTACGTTTGCGTACAGTCTGCTCGTGTTGTCGACGAATTCCAGATCACAGCCTAGATCCTTTACGGAACTGGTGTGGCGCAGCAGGGTGTATGCAGGCCCATCACTACCCCTCCCCAGGCTCATAAACGAGGAGTTGGCCGTGTTGACCGATAGGTCAACTTCTGCAGACCAACGGGATAGGTAGTCGAGTGAGTAGCATAAAAATCTCAACTGTAGCATGGGTTGTGTGGATTTTGTTGGATATATTAAATAGAGTTTGTTTGGCACGTGGTACTTGATATTGGGCTTGTTCGGAAAAATTGAAGGTAGATAAGTACCTAATTTTCGAGATCGTGCGTGGACAGCTGCGGAAGGACATGTTCGTTATTCCGTACAATAGCTCCTTCGGGGATGGAACAGCCGTAAGACAATATGTTTGATATTTTAGTCGAGAGGCTCAATATTCGCGTGTGGTACGATATCTCAAGGGAAAGTAAGTCAACTTGAATGAGGAAGTGTCTCGTGAAGTTCGTCACGCAGAAGGCTATAGATGATATTCATATTATCGGCGAATAAAAATAGCCGACCATGTTTTACGGATGTGGTGATATCACTGATTTAGAGAAAGAACAGCAAAGCACCGAGCACGTTCTCTTGGATGACACCAATAGTGATGGGGAGTGAAGAAGGGCGATAGTCATAGACATAGTACCGGCCTGGTGAGGAACACTCAGATATGACGTAAACCATCACTCTTCACTCTTGAAATCACTTGTACAGAACCATGTGTTCCGATTCAAACTAGATCGAGCTTTGATCATTTGGCCTAAAGAATTGATTCGCGCGTGAGGACAGGTCAAAAAGGCACACTGCTTCATTCAGTGGCACTTACACACAGACTGGGAGTGAAGAGTAGATAAAGCGGGAAATTTAACAGAATAAGGCCACAAATGCTTTAAATCCTATTTGTAATGAAGCCATTCGAGACCAATGAGTGATAAAAATCGCACAGTATAAAATGGCTCGCCAGACTTATAACAGATAGCTTGGTTCATTTAGATTAGTCGTTAAGTTGGACACATTTTTAAAGATGAATACGTAAAGTTTGCCGATGAGAACCAGCACTGCTCCTTTGCTCAGTAGGCGAATGTTACCGCATACCCAAGCGACTGATTTTCATAGAGGCCTGTGTGATGCTGCGGTATAAATTAGCTGAAAAATGCCGTGATTTGCGAATTTCTCGTAACTCGCAGTAAACAACAAAAAGCGAAGAAGCGGCGCAATCGTAAATGTGGATAAAAACATCGGTTTAATTCAAAGTCTTGAAAATCATGAGCTTTCGGTAATAAAATAATGTGTCAGCTGTACGTCGTAAGGGCGCTTCGCTGCCGTGCGACCACCACCAGTCGCGTGCCGGCTAAGTATACCGCGAGGACGCCCACCACTACGCGGATTCGAACCGGGGACCTTATGATTGCAAACTAGGCGCGTACACCACTCGGCTACCAGCCGACAGGAGCTCTCGATCGGTTCCAAGAATTTTTCAAGACGTTGAACGATTTTAGGGACCCCGAAGTTATTATTTAATGAGACTACAACGGAGATCTGGATCACTTGCGCATAAATATCAGCAGTACTCCGATACTCAGTACCGAGGCTTCGCTACCGCTCAACTACCATCAGTCGAGCGTGGGCTAAGGATATTGCGAAGGTCGCCCGGTCCCCACGAAATTAGACAGATTGGTAACCAGCTTGTCCTTACGTCTGTTAAATGGCTGTTTGGATATATCGGGAATAAACGAATACATCAAATAATCTCAGCTTTTGAGGCAAGTGCAGTAAGCTAGTACCGGACTCGGGTACTCCGTTTGGAGGTAACGACACTAGTAACCTAGCGGTGGGAAGTGAATAAGAAACCTAATAACAAAGCAAAGCTAATAGCTTTGACAATGTTGAGCCTGCGCAGCCTGATAAAGTGTCACATAACCCCGTCTTCTATGAAAGAAGAATATAAAAACCGATCAGATGGAGAACAAGTGTAGAAGCCCACCGGGGCAATACGCCGTAAGTAGTTTTTTCATTTATCACATCACAAATCCATCGCCACTTCTGATTTGCTTGATCAGGAACATCAAGAAGCATCATTAGTTCTTTAGTCTGCCGGATTTCATGCGAAGACCATAATGATCCTTGAGTTGACCTCTTATTTGGAGTCAGAACTTCAATTCTCTTGCTCTACTGATGCTATGGCTAACGCCAAGGTGGGTTCAAAGGGATATCTCTTCACAGCGATGGAGAGACCAAAATACAAGTGTGCTTGAACAGCAGCCGTGAGTTCATCTTGAAATTTGAAGTGGGGGTAAGATCTTCTAGAAACCGCTTCTTTGTCTGTGGTCATACTTTCCGGATTAGGTCTCACGAAGCCGAAGACCTTTCGCTGTGTATGACGATATGTTTTCAGACGAACTCCTGTTACTCAAATGTTGTAGCAAGCTAACTGTTGCGATCTCTTCCTGATGATGTGTGGCCACTGGTAGATAAGCTATTGATAGGACGTCCGCGACGGACACC